TGCCGCTGAAGTGAGAGATCAAAATATGAAAATAAATTCCTTAATGCTAGAATTTGAAGTTTTAAAAATTTAGATATTATGAATAATGTATTTTTTTCATGTATTAAATATACACACTTTCATGTATAAAAGCCTTTAATGGGTAGAATTGTACAAATGATAGTGTCAACCTAATTGGGATGTACTCATTCTATTGTGATGCAATTTCTCTTCTATTCATAAATAAAATTATTCATTATTTAATTTTTGTCCATTTTGATTTTGACTATACTTTTAATTCAAAAATATAATTTACAAAAAATTAAATGAAGTTGTATATTTTTTTAATAGGGCCCAACAAGTCCACCCAACCATGCCCAAAACAGGCCCGCCTAACTAGGCCCAAGAAGCCTACCTAGTCAAGTCCACTCGCAAAGCCCGCCCAATAGGTGATAGGTTGGGCTATGGGTAGTTTACCCCTAACCGAAGCCCAGCCCAGCCCGACCCACCCGATAACTCGTATGACTAAAGGTTTGAGCCTACACTACCCAAGTCCGGCCCGGTCCATTAACAGCCTTATCTACCTCCAACAAACCCTAGATGCCAAAGTTTTGGTTCAAGACCTCCTCTTTTCACCCCAATAACATAATCCACAGAATACCTTTAGACCTGTTTTTAGATCATCATCACTCACCACATGACCCTCTTTAGATCCCCATATGTGAGATCCTTCAAATCAACCTCTAATCTATCCAAAAATTAAACTAAAGTTTGTAAAAAATAAGGTTTTACACTTCGTGGTCAGACCTGCAACTGCCTTTTTCTTCCACCAAATGAACTCAAAATCCATGTCTAAGGTCACCAATGAATTCCTAGGGTTGGTTTTAGTCTACCCCGATACACGTTACGTTTTAAAAACTCAAGAATTACCTTTAATTTTCAAAAAACTCAAACTCTCACCATCACCACCACCGACCACAGTCACCCTTCAAACCACTACTAAAATTCATATTAAACACCCATAAACCTTTTCCAAACCTCACTTTAAGCTTAAACCAAACGAAAACTCAAACCTATTTCTATACCAACTAAAACTTCAAAACAAAAATTCTTGCTCAAACAATGACCAAAACAGGGTTTGAAGCATCATAAATGAAACCCTAGCACCCTAATTAGGCTAGAAGTTTACCCCTTCATGCTTGAATTCCTTCCTACAAATATTTGATCTTCACATTTTCTCTTTCTTTAACTTCTCTCCTCAATTTCTCTCTCTACAAATGATGCCTATTTGCTCCACAACCTTGGCTGAATATTTTAGCATCCTCTCAACACTTTGGATGGTTGCAGAATGGTGAGAGGCCCCCTTTAACAACCAGACAACTACTTGGAAGGAAATGTCATACAATGACATTTTCGTAAATACCTTAAATCAAAAATTAATTTAATTTTTAATTTTTTTAATAATTACATACATATTAAACCATGCCTTAGACAAATATTTTCCTAATTTTTTTTATTTACATATTATGTATATATGTTCGGGTTTCACACTTCAGACATATGGTCATTGCTAGTTTAAAAATATTGAGAATTAAGAAAGCATTTCACCATAAACAAAAACAAAACAAATAAAACCCTCGAAATCTTTCTTTATTTTTAAAAAGTCATATCAACCCCAATTTTTTTAGATCAGTTTTAACTAATTAAATCATAATTTGATCTAATTGAGAAGAAAATTTATTTTTGGTGTCGAAAGATAATGCTACCATATCGATGACACGTGCTTAAAATCATTCATGTCACGATATAACTTTTGGCCATCTTTTTTAACGTATTCACTTCGTATTTATCATTCGGTACAGTTCTCTTTTGTCAGTTACTCGATATTTATTGTCTCCAATCCACTATACCAATAAATGCACATTTTCTTCNGAACTTTAGCAATATTATAATGTTCCATTGTTAGGTGTTGGAAATCTTAATTTTGATATTTTGGCCTAGTGAAAAGGATATGAAAGTAGGCTTCCAATTCTTTCCACCCTGGCTCATAATATATTAACAGTTCCTATGTCGAATATAGTATCCAAATATGCTTTTAGTACATGTGGACGTGTCATTGATGAACATAGGAGTTGCTTGGATGGAAAGACAGTGGAAGCCCTCATGTGTCTTCAAGATTGATATGCCGCTGAAGTGAGAGATCAAAATATGAAAATAAATTCCTTAATGCTAGAATTTGAAGTTTTAAAAATTTAGATATTATGAATAATGTATTTTTTTCATGTATTAAATATACACACTTTCATGTATAAAAGCCTTTAATGGGTAGAATTGTACAAATGATAGTGTCAACCTAATTGAGATGTACTCATTCTATTGTGATGCAATTTCTCTTCTATTCATAAATAAAATTATTCATTATTTAATTTTTGTCCATTTTGATTTTGACTATACTTTTAATTCAAAAATATAATTTACAAAAAATTAAATGAAGTTGTATATTTTTTTAATAGGGCCCAACAAGTCCACCCAACCATGCCCAAAACAGGCCCGCCTAACTAGGCCCAAGAAGCCTACCTAGTCAAGTCCACTCGCAAAGCCCGCCCAATAGGTGATAGGTTGGGCTATGGGTAGTTTACCCCTAACCGAAGCCCAGCCCAGCCCGACCCACCCGATAACTCGTATGACTAAAGGCTTGAGCCTACACTACCCAAGTCCGGCCCGGTCCATTAACAGCCTTATCTACCTCCAACAAACTCTAGATGCCAAAGTTTTGGTTCAAGACCTCCTCTTTTCACCCCAATAACATAATCCACAGAATACCTTTAGACCTGTTTTTAGATCATAATCACTCACCACATGACCCTCTTTAGATCCCCATATGTGAGATCCTTCAAATCAACCTCTAATCTATCCAAAAATTGAACTAAAGTTTGTAAAAAATAAGGTTTTACACTTCGTGGTCAGACCTGCAACTGCCTTTTTCTTCCACCAAATGAACTCAAAATCCATGTCTAAGGTCACCAATGAATTCCTAGGGTTGGTTTTAGTCTACCCCGATACACGTTACGTTTTAAAAACTCAAGAATTACCTTTAATTTTCAAAAAACTCAAACTCTCACCATCACCACCACCGACCACAGTCACCCTTCAAACCACTACTAAAATTCATATTAAACACCCATAAACCTTTTCCAAACCTCACTTTAAGCTTAAACCAAACGAAAACTCAAACCTATTTCTATACCAACTAAAACTTCAAAACAAAAATTCTTGCTCAAACAATGACCAAAACAGGGTTTGAAGCATCATAAATGAAACCCTAGCACCCTAATTAGGCTAGAAGTTTACCCCTTCATGCTTGAATTCCTTCCTACAAATATTTGATCTTCACATTTTCTCTTTCTTTAACTTCTCTCCTCAATTTCTCTCTCTACAAATGATGCCTATTTGCTCCACAACCTTGGCTGAATATTTTAGCATCCTCTCAACACTTTGGATGGTTGCAGAATGGTGAGAGGCCCCCTTTAACAACCAGACAACTACTTGGAAGGAAATGTCATACAATGACATTTTCGTAAATACCTTAAATCAAAAATTAATTTAATTTTTAATTTTTTTAATAATTACATACATATTAAACCATGCCTTAGACAAATATTTTCCTAATTTTTTTTATTTACATATTATGTATATATGTTCGGGTTTCACACTTCAGACATATGGTCATTGCTAGTTTAAAAATATTGAGAATTAAGAAAGCATTTCACCATAAACAAAAACAAAACAAATAAAACACTCGAAATCTTTCTTTATTTTTAAAAAGTCATATCAACCCCAATTTTTTTAGATCAGTTTTAACTAATTAAATCATAATTTGATCTAATTGAGAAGAAAATTTATTTTTGGTGTCGAAAGATAATGCTACCATATCGATGACACGTGCTTAAAATCATTCATGTCACGATATAACTTTTGGCCATCTTTTTTAACGTATTCACTTCGTATTTATCATTCGGTACAGTTCTCTTTTGTCAGTTACTTGATATTTATTGTCTCCAATCCACTATACCAATAAATGCACATTTTCTTTTCTATCGGGCATTTATGTGCATTTTAGATAAGCATTTTTCTCGAGTTTTTGTATTCCTAGCCGTATCTGGCAAAACACATCCAATTCATTAGCAAATAAAAAATCTACCATTTTAAAACTTAGATAAAAAAAACCTACTTACAGAATTTTGGGTGTGGCTGAGATGTTTATCTAGTGATGAAGCAAAGCAAGTCATGTACGTCGTACATTCAGGGGTGTGTGGTGCCCACCAGTCTAGGCCAAAGATGCAAGTGAAGCTCAAACATATGAGGTATTACTGGCCTACAATGGTCTAGGATATCATGCCCCACAAGTTAGTTGTCAAGTGCCCCCTAGGAGGGGGACTTACCACAAGATTGAGTTGAAGCTTGGAATCAAAGCCCCTTAACTTACTTATGTTAGGGTTAGGTTTAGCAAATGTGTTGCTCATTCCAATCAAAAATTTTCACATTTGGAAAGGATGTTGGACTCATCGATCGAATGTATTCTCATCGTAGGAGCTCATCCGTTCGTGTATCTCACACCCCCAATCATCTTTACCGCTAATTTTTTTATTTAAAATCAAAGAAAAGACTAAAACAAAATGTAAGACATGAAAAATGGTTCACATTTGATTTGGATACTTTTTTTAGGAGCTCTCATGCTTTCTTATATATAAATTTTAAGTTCGCTCTTCCGTATCTCTTTCTTATTATTAGTAAGATAAAGAAAATAGAAGTAACTTGCCTGATTTTCAACTGTTGATTTTAGTTCGAATAAATTGTAACTATTGATTGAAAGAATAATAAAACATTTAAAAAAAAAAACACATATTCTTATTGAATATAAAAAATAAATATTCGATATAAAAAATTATTTTTCGACAGGTAAATAAATGTACCATTTATGGTAATAATAAAGAAAATAATTGTAGTGGAGTTGGAGCTTACCGTTCATCAAACCGAGTCTTCTTTTGGCAAGACTACCAAGTACAAATCTACTGTTAGTGCTTCTCTGTCTCTCTCCTCCGATCCATGCAAGAACAGTCCAGCTGTTCCTGCCTCTCTCTCTCTCTCTCTCTCTCTTGCTTGAAGCGATGACGGATCCTCAAAACCTTATCTAAGGCATGGAAAACACTCTGTAAATACACAAACACATTGATATAGATGTTTGTATCTATATACAAGATCAATTTTCTTGCTTGAAATCGAGTAGTGGTGTTACTGTTACGGTGGTTCATAGAGAAATGAAATTGTGAGACTAGGGTTTTTGTTTTATCAGTGATGGCGTCGGAGGTGACTCACAGTTGGAGAGATTCTTACAAGGGAATGTCCTCTGACAACATCAAGGGTTTGGTTTTGGCGTTGTCTTCAAGCGTCTTCATTGGTGCTAGCTTCATTGTTAAGAAAAAGGGTTTAAAGAAAGCCGGGGCGTCTGGAGTTAGGGCAGGTACTTATTTAGACTCTTTTTGACTTCCAATTGAAATCTCTGTCACCCAAGTTAGTTGTTAATAGGTATATTGAAATTGTCTTTCTCGAATGAATTTGATTTGTTTTTGAATTTAATCCTGATTTGTAAATGAAGTAATTTTGGAGTTTGGGATGCTACGGTTTGATGTGATTGTGTTTTTTTATTGGATCTTTGGGGTCTTTATAGATGTGTTTAATACTTGAACTTTAATGTATCTTTGTGATTATCTTATAAGGCAATTATTGCACGTTGTTGATTCCAATTCGAACTTGTGTTTAGGCAGACCAGCTGAAAATAGGGGAAACAAATTGCAGTATGCAGTAAAAACCAATTAGGGGGGGAATTCGTTTTAGGAAATTTGTGGGTTGATACATAATTAGCCTTTAATTCCTTTTGTGCTGCTGCTGCTGCACCAGTTTGCTTGCTCTGGGGGATGCACACGCATGCACGTTTTTTTTGAGGGACTAGGGGTGTGGGGAAGGACATGATAATTTTTTTTAAGCATTTCAAACTTACAAGCCTTCAAACCAAGTAAACTGTTTGTGACTTGCTGGTTAAATAGGCTTCTTTGTCTGGTGATTTAAAAAACTTCCAATTGTATCAGATTATTGTCCACCTATGAAACACAAATTATTGAGGTTAGTGTATTCGTAACGTATACAATATTCATCGGATACTCGAGGATACGTATCAGATTTACTTTCTACATACCCAATTGTAATACAATATTTGGATACTTCGTGAATACTTTTGTATTCGAGTAACATATATAATTTTTGAATTTAATCTTTAACATCTCCTTTCGAATTCACATGTCATACAATAACACATCAACAAAAATTCATATTATTTTAGAGACACGTGAGTATTTTTTCAGTATTATTTACTATTACATGTCAAAATAGTATAAAACAAATCTATTACGTTATAATTCTAACAATATATACTTCTAAATAAACCAAGTAATTCTTAGTTTTGATTCATTTAATTAGGTATTTCACTTTGTGAATATACATGATGATATGATATATACTTTTTTGAAACTAAACAAAAAATTTGCTAATTTTTCTTATTATGTTAAAGAATTACCAAAATATATAGTTATTAAGTCGCTAGATAATAGTAAAAATACTAAATATATTTTCTTATAGACGCATCCTGATTGTATTCGTATTCTACTTCTTTAGATTAAATCATATTGCTGTATTAATGTCGTATCGTACGCATATCCCTTATTCGTATCCGTATTCGTGTTTTATGAAGTACAAACACTCTCAAGAAGATGACGTATCTGTGTCAGACACTTGTCGGACACCGACACTTGTTGGACATATATTTGATACTCTTTTATCCGTGTTCATAATTAAATTATACAATTTTAATTTTGGATAAGTGTCCAACACTTATGTTGTGACGTGTCCATCACTTCTTTTGTAATGTGTCGATCACTTCTACTAATAAACAATAAACATGTGTTGATATGTGATAAATAAAACTTAAAAATTTGATTGATAATTATCTTATAATATGAGAGAACATATAATTAATAGGATTAAACATGGTAAAGTTGTACTCAAAATATATAAATAAAAGAAAAATATGTATATAAGTTTTACAAAAAAAAAAAAAAAATCGAGAAAATGAGAGTAATAATTTAAATTATATATGTTGGGTATACAAAAAAATTGATGATTATTGACNAACCAATTAGGGGGGGAATTCGTTTTAGGAAATTTGTGGGTTGATACATAATTAGCCTTTAATTCCTTTTGTGCTGCTGCTGCTGCACCAGTTTGCTTGCTCTGGGGGATGCACACGCATGCACGTTTTTTTTGAGGGACTAGGGGTGTGGGGAAGGACATGATAATTTTTTTTAAGCATTTCAAACTTACAAGCCGTCAAACCAAGTAAACTGTTTGTGACTTGCTGGTTAAATAGGCTTCTTTGTCTGGTGATTTAAAAAACTTCCAATTGTATCAGATTATTGTCCACCTATGAAACACAAATTATTGAGGTTAGTGTATTCGTAACGTATACAATATTCATCGGATACTCGAGGATACGTATCAGATTTACTTTCTACATACCCAATTGTAATACAATATTTGGATACTTCGTGAATACTTTTGTATTCGAGTAACATATATAATTTTTGAATTTAATATTTAACATCTCCTTTCGAATTCACATGTCATACAATAACACATCAACAAAAATTCATATTATTTTAGAGACACGTGAGTATTTTTTCAGTATTATTTACTATTACATGTCAAAATAGTATAAAACAAATCTATTACGTTATAATTTTAACAATATATACTTCTAAATAAACCAAGTAATTCTTAGTTTTGATTCATTTAATTAGGTATTTCACTTTGTGAATATACATGATAATATGATATATACTTTTTTGAAACTAAACAAAAAATTTGCTAATTTTTCTTATTATGTTAAAGAATTACCAAAATATATAGTTATTAAGTCGCTAGATAATAGTAAAAATACTAAATATATTTTCTTATAGACGCATCCTGATTGTATTCGTATTCTACTTCTTTAGATTATATCATATTGCTGTATTAATGTCGTATCGTACGCATATCCCTTATTCGTATCCGTATTCGTGTTTTATGAAGTACAAACACTCTCAAGAAGATGACGTATCTGTGTCAGACACTTGTCGAACACCGACACTTGTTGGACATATATTTGATACTCTTTTATCCGTGTTCATAATTAAATTATACAATTTTAATTTTGGATAAGTGTCCAACACTTATATTGTGACGTGTCCATCACTTCTTTTGTAATGTGTCGATCACTTCTACTAATAAACAATAAACATGTGTTGATATGTGATAAATAAAACTTAAAAATTTGATTGATAATTATCTTATAATATGAGAGAACATATAATTAATAGGATTAAACATGGTAAAGTTGTACTCAAAATATATAAATAAAAGAAAAATATGTATATAAGTTTTACAAAAAAAAAAAAAAAATCGAGAAAATGAGAGTAATAATTTAAATTATATATGTTGGGTATACAAAAAAATTGATGATTATTGACTATTAATGTCTAAAAATTCAAAATAAATGACTCAACTTAACATTCACTATCATAAAGTACTGAAATTTTCATGAACAATATATCATTATCAATATATCTGCAATAAATAATATAATTTTATATATAAAACAAAATTATCAGTGACGTGTCTCAAGCATGTCCGTGTCCTGCTTTTTTTTAAATTGCCATGTGTTCTTGTTCATGTCGTGTCGAATCTGTGTCCTGTGCTCTTAGTCCGTGCTTCATAGTTGTCCACTCTTATCTCCACTGGCTTTTTCAGACTTATCCTTGTTGTATATAGCTTGGCCATGTGTTGTTTGTGTTGTGCTTACCTTGCATGATTATGGCTTTTACATACTCTGCTTCAGTCATTGGATAAAGTTTTGTGCATGTAAGATGTCCACTTCATTGGTCTTTATTAATCCAGGCGCTCATGCACTGAAGTATAGGTGCATTTGTATGTACAAGATGAAAATAAGGAAATTACCAGCTCTCGGATTCTCCTTATTGTAGGTTAATCAACTATAGCTGTTAGCTAAAAAAAACTATAGTTTTTCATAGAATTGCAACCTATTTTTGGTTAGGAAGAACTCACCCACAAACGATAACAAAAAAAAAAAAACAAGGCAAAGCTGCACCCTAACAATAATCTCTACTATACTAACTCGTTCAAAAGGAAACATGTATTCCAAATATTGAAATTCATTTTGAACCAACATTATCCATATCATTTGTCACTCTCCTGGATTAATTAATTTTGTTTTGGATCATCCTGTTCTGAATCTTCTGGATGCTCTTTTGCATGCATGAACATGACAATCTATTTACTCTCGAGTCTCGACAACTGACCGAAGTGATGGTAGGGAAGCTAGCAAGATGCTGCCTCATGTTGCCTGCTATCCATCATTCCTCAGATCCATCAACTAGCATTACAATTTCTCTCACGCAGAGGGCGCCAACAAGGAATTTTTCTATCGATTTATATCAGTTTTTTTGTTCCTGCCACATATATAAGCATACCGTAGGATTTAACTCAATATGAAAGCCCTGGCAAATGTTTTTTTTAATGTTTCTTGGAACATTTTTAGCATGCACAAAAGAAAAGAAAAATTTAGATTCACTTTCAGGACCATATTCTTTGATTTGTTATGTTTGCATTTCTTTAATGGTATAGTGCCACATTTTTTGTCTCTATTGTCATTATTGTTCACTGATTACTTCTGTGGAATTATTTTTCCAGGAGTTGGAGGATATTCATACTTATATGAGCCGCTGTGGTGGGCGGGCATGATAACAAGTGAGTTTATACATTTCTGCTTGTTTAGTGATAATAGAGATTACATCATCTGGGAGAATTTCTGAACACAGTTCAGCTGCATGTTTATGCTTCAAAAAGGATTGGAATCTCCTCCCCCCCTTTCCTCAACCATCCCCCCCCCTCCCTTCAAAACACACACACACACACACAAAGAAAGAAGTGCTTAACGTTGAGAGTTGACTTGTGGAGATCTTATTTTTTTTCTAAATTTATTTGTGCTTACTATTGGCAAAATGTGATATGGCCATGTTTCGTGAAGCCACCACCGTTGCTGCTGTTGTTATTATTACTATCATGCGTTAAACATCTTGCGCATAATCTGGACATTTTAAGACATGCACCTTAATTGTAATAAATATGTTTGCAAGAATGAGATATGCATGTGAGATGTGGAGAGGCGAATTCAATTTCCTTGAGCCCCCTCTCGGAGATCCTCTCCAGATTGGCATAGAAGGTATATGATAGGTGCTATAGGTAATAATATACTTATTTGATTTAGACTGCCAGCTCATCAGAGAATTTTTACTGCCTTTTGGAAGTTCTCATGGAAGCATCTTTCTTTCGTCTTTGGTGTTGTCTTATGGAGGTGGTTGTATGTTGCACAATATATGTTTGGGTGTGTTTTTGCCAATATTGTGACTCTGAGATAGAGATTTACGACATGCTCATGGCTTCAGAAGCTGAGGTCGGATGGATCCCTAGATCCACCAATGATTGGCAGATCTCTCGGCTAAGAGAGGAGTGCTTTCCTTAAAGCCAGATCAGGGTTACTTCCATCCAAATGACCCTGATAAAGGACAACGGGAGCAAACCAAGTGCATGAGCCAGCCACATGGTTTGAAGTCAAACAGGATCAAACTAGGTGCAAATTAGGACAAGTAGATATTGTTGATTTTCTTGCTCCTGCTTCTTCATCGACATTCCTCAAATCAGTTGTGCTCTTTGGGGATCTAACAAAGAAGTGGACATTTTGAAGTGGCAGCATCAAATATATATTTCATTGACATTTGGATTCGAGAATTTGTGGAGAAAATCGTGTCCTTGGGATTGGTTTCTTTAGCAGAGTTGGGTTGGATTTTGTTTTGGCCCATAAGGATTGCCTTGTCTTCTTTCACCATTTTTATCATTGCTACTTCATTACTTTTGACTCCTTTTCTTATAGGGCAAAATAAAATACTTAAATTCGGATTCTTATTAAACTCTGAATGAGATACACTAGCAAATTGTGACTTTCTAGTGAATAGATGGTTGCTCCCAGAAAGTCTAGATATGCATATGGAGACCATGAAGAAAAATAACACTAGCTTTTCCTAGTGTCTTGTGCTGGCAGACAATCGGATCATTGATAACTTTTGTAAGTTCCGCTTCTAGGACTATCTTCCTTCTCTGAGGCACAAAATATTGTGGGACTTCTGTTTATATTCTTCCCCTCGATCTCTTATCGGAAAAAAGATTATTCTTCACCTTGATCATGAATAAGAGGAAAAGGATGCTAACTTGCCCATGACAAGAAGTTTCAAACTTGTGGATCTTAAGAATTGGGAGTTGCCAAGGATCCATCCATGATCCATGTGGATCGTTATTGATGATTATTTGAGTTAGTTTTCTCCCAAAGATTTTTTTTTTCCCCTTATTATTATCCTCTTTCAGTCATGAAATTTTTTGTTACAAGTATTCTGATTTGCTCATGTCCTTCTACATCAGTTGCTTATGATTCTCACTGGGAATTGTGACTTCTAACGGTGGTTGCTATTGCAACAGTGATTGTTGGGGAGATTGCTAATTTTGCAGCTTATGCATTTGCACCAGCTATTCTGGTCACTCCTCTTGGAGCACTCAGCATTATTATCAGGCATGCTACAAGTTCAGATGCAATATTTAAATTTAATTATCTGGTGTTGACTGCTAATCACAATGTTGAATTTCAGTGCTGTACTTGCGCATATCATTTTACGAGAGAGGCTACATATCTTTGGAATTCTTGGGTGTGCACTTTGTGTTGTGGGTTCCACCACCATTGTTCTACATGCCCCTCAAGAACGTGAAATTGAATCTGTGACAGAAGTGTGGGATCTTGCTACTGAGCCAGGTAATATTGTTTGCTTCTAGCACTGACTGTTTTGTAATCCACACATGCAGTTTTCTTTCTACCTGTTTGATATCATGTTTCTTGCCTTTTTTCGCATGGCCAACTGAGCATAATGGTCATTCACATCTTTTCTGCAGCTTTTCTATTTTATGCAGCAGTTGTGATAACAACTGTCTTCATACTTATATTCAACTATATCCCACAATACGGCCAGACACATATAATGTGTTACATTGGAGTTTGCTCGCTGGTTGGTTCTTTGTCGGTATGTAATGGTATTTTAGTAGTATTTTGTTTCTTTTATTTTGTTTTCAATAGGTGTTATTTCAAGAAATAGTATTTCATTCTTGTGGGTATGCTCTGACAGGTCATGAGTGTCAAAGCACTTGGAATTGCTTTGAAGCTAACATTGTCGGGAATGAACCAGCTAATATATCCCCAAACATGGGCCTTTGCCATGGTGGTTATTACTTGTGTAGTTACCCAAATGAATTATTTAAACAAGGTAAAGATGCTTCTTTTTTTTTGTTTTCGCCTTTTTCTTTATATTTTGTCTGAAGTATTCTGTTATTATCTACTCGAGCAGCATTTTTTTTCCGGATTCAATGTCAGAAGTGGGATTTGAATCCATACTGTCTCATGAGGATTAGAACTTGAGTCTGGTGCTGTAGACGACTCGGCCTTCCTGACCTTTGCTTAAGAAACATGTTGTACTTGCCTTTTGTGTTATGCTGTGTAATTTCTGTGGGTGCTGTAAAAGCACTTTTGGCTTCTTAAGTGGGTGTATTAATTATATAGGAGCGCTCTAGATCTTTGGTATGAAACAGTACTCTATTTTATTTCTCGATTCCAAACTGTGCATGTTTGATTATCAATTCTATGTTGTTGAGCACTTGTGTAAAGTCTCGTTAAATGTTGCATGCTCGATGTCCTTGGAAAACCAATCCCAGGATGATTAGGAGGCACTTGGAATTAGGTATTTTATCTGTAGTTATGAGAACTATATGTTTGAAAGCGTTGAGGCCTAGTCTCATATGGTTCTGTGGAATGGACACGATCTTTTTGAAAAAGGCAAAATGAAAAAGGGATCCTGAATTATCTTGTTTTTATGTCGATCAGAGATCGGTCCTCCTGTCATGTTATCCCATAATATTTCTAGTTGGTTAAGGAGGCCAGTCCTTACTTTAGGAAAGTCAGACATCTCTCTTAGAGAAGGAAGAAGATGGAGGTTAGACAGTAAGGAACAAAGTGAAACTTTTTGTACATGCCGCAATTCACTAAATTTAGGCATTTGACGGAATGAAAGGTTAGTGTTTATGCCTTTAGCTTTCGGGATTATTGGTAACAGAAGCTGCTGTTCTGAATTTGGGGAGTGTCTACACTCCTGTCAAGGGCATTGTTCATGAAATTACCTTTTCATATTCATTCACTTAGTAAATGAAGCTCCCTATTTTGCTTCTATTTGTGGGGGACTACAGCCATGTGATTATTCTTTCTCTATCATTTATTCTTTTTTCCACTGTAGTGTACACCTTCATTTCCAGGACTTAATTTGATAACCACCAGGTAAAATAGCAAATGAGTTTCGCATGATTACCAGGTATTATGGTACATTGTTAAAATAGCTTAAAAGATGACCAAAGAATGTTTGAGCTTAAAGGAATTGTGGTGGCCATGCCCATGATACTATGTGAAAAGTAGCTTAGAAGATGACAGAAGGATGTGTAGACTTTGGACAGTTTGATTTCTTTTGAAGTGGACTGTCACTGCAATATTTGGTTCTTGTAATTAGTTTACTCAATCTTCAAGATTTTATGGTGATTCAAACTTTAAGTCTGGCTAGGCTGGTTTTCTCACTTTCCTTTTTTCACCCCCATTCTATACATTTTGGTGTTTATTATTTCATTTATACTTATGATGTGGCCATTATTCTTCTGTTCTCTAATTTTGTTCTTTGGTCTCTTTCTGCTCTTCTTCTTTGTGAAATCTTGAATGCAGGCCCTTGACACATTCAACACAGCTGTTGTATCTCCCATATACTATGTTATGTTTACATCTTTGACAATCTTGGCTAGTGTGATCATGTTTAAGGTAATTCTTTTACAGATCAGCAGCATTTGAATACCTTTCTTGTTTGATTATATTTGATTTGAGAATCATATTATGCTGTGACTGTGATTAGATGCCTTCTTATTTTGCTATATTGGACACATGAATTTTGCTCCTTACATTTTTATTATTCCATAAATTCCCCCTCTGCTTCTGCAATAATCAATTAAACAATGCCTTGCCTTGACTTTGGTTGTTGTCTGTATGAAGTTTTTTTGCCTCCCTTTGTTCCTTATTTTTTCTAGAAGTTTAATTTTGTCCTGACTGAAAATATAGTAATTTGAAGATGTTTGCACATAAGAGTCTGAATCCCTAGGCTGAAGTACATAATGAAATTGTTAAATTTGTGGCTCTGAAATTGGAAAGAAAAAGGATAAGACTGCTTAGTGGAGGTGGGACTATAGTACCGAGAAGCATGTGACAGGATTCAATCTCATTATGAGCTGGATGGGGGAAACGGGTTTCATGCTATTCCAAAGGATTAGAAAGAAAGAAATCATTGGTGATTTTTGGTGGTAATAATATCACGAAAGAGCTGTTTTTTATTAATCTTTAACAGCAAATGGAGGTTAGAAATTGAGGTAATGGTAATTTACAACATGGCCAGTTTTTGAAACATAGAATGAAATGGCTAAAGCATTCTATTTATCTCTAATGCATGAAGTGTATCTATTTTATTTGGACATAATAGCTAAAATGGTAAGAGCTCATTTGTTATTGTAGTCTCTAAGTGGGGAAAAAGTTACATCAATCTTCTTATTTGAACTCCTATGTTCGCTCAAACAATATCGTTAAAGCTTGATAATTGTAAACAGGACTGGGATAGGCAGAATCCAACCCAGATTGTCACAGAAATGTGTGGGTTTGTGACAATCCTTTCTGGAACCTTCCTTCTTCACAAAACAAAAGACATGGCTGATGGTATGCTTCTATACGTTTTCTTTGCATCCCTTTTGATGTTAATGTGAGACTGGGTTAGTCACACTGGAACCAAGGGCATGGCCACTCAGTGCCACTCATAAATGGTAGTTAAAACCATGCACTTTGACATAGTTCCCAGTTTTGATGGTTTACGTGAATAAAAATATGAAAAAATAAGTTTGTAGATGTGGTGCCACTGCATTTCCAACATTTCTTGATTCTTCACCTTGTAAATGACAATGAATACCATCAATGCATCCAGGTTCCATGTCTCCATCCATGCGACTTCTCAAGCAGATGGACGAGGAAGATGGTTTTGGTCAAGAAGGCATTCCTCTTAAGCGGACGGATTCTTTGAGATTGTCGTAATGTGATTTTTTGTTCTTCGATCCTTCACATGCCTTCTTTAAGAAGGGACCACACTAATGCCAAATTGTATTTTATCCAGCATTGAAATCTCTCTCCATCATATTGTTTTTGGATACAGTGGCAAAGTAAGTATTTTTCTTCTCTTTTTTTGAGGAAAAAGGTGGATTCTAGTTCAGATCGTTCTCCTCTTCATTCAAGGACAATTTCAATGTAACTTTTGAGCATGTTGGTTAATACAAATGTATGGTTTCATCATTTTGCTAGGAACTTTGCAACAAACTCTGGATATCAATTTTTAGTTTGGATTAATTCAGTAAATACCATTTTGGGTAATTTTCTCATCGGCGTAAAGTTAACTCTAAGACAAATTATATACTTTGATGTCTTAAGTTTAACTCTAAGGTGTCTCTTTAAGTTTATCTATCTTATGCTAGTGGTTTGCGGGTGATTATAGGTTATCCGAAGTTTATAAAAAACTTTCTCTACTCTCGTCCGCCGGCTGACTTGTCTTTTGTATCCAAAACAGGATCAATTCTAGGTCTGCCTTCCCATTAAGGGGAAGTTTTCACTCTTTGACAGCCATAACACAAGGGCACGGCTCCTCTGCTGTTACATAAGAACAGCATAGTTTGCTGTTAGTTTGAAACGCCACCATCTGTGAAATTCTCTCTCTTCACAAAACTAACACACTCTCAGTCTCTCTTTCTATCTCTCTCACAAACACACTCGGTCTCTCCTAATTACAGCTCCAAATTATGGTTCCATGATTCGCATTCTTCACTGTTCACAAAGCGAAACTGTCCCCTACCCACACACTACACTCTTTCGAAAACTTCTGGGTTCTACTCTGTTCGTGAGTACAAGAGCAGGAGATTCAGAAGAAGTAGCAATGACAAAGACGAGACCAGCTTCTTCATCCTCAACGCACCACCTGTTGTTGTTGCCTATGAATGAGCTCCGTTAATGGCAGCTCTCAACTGTGACAATTTCTAGGAAAATCATCAAATGGGTCCATCTAAGGAGTATGACTCAACTCTCTCTGTGAACTTCTGGACATCGACTTGGGCATCGGCAAGACTCATATCAAAATTGCATGGATGTTTTTCTTGATTTGGCACTCCGATAGCGACATACACAGTTTTATTCTGCCTATCAAAGTTGATTCGAGTATCACCTAGAGAAGGCAATTCTCTCGGTGGATTACGATTCAAGAAGTGGAGCCAGTCATTGCTGACATTTTTGTGAGTTATGGTGTTTCTAACAATTGATTCAATGTCGGGCAAAGAGTTTGGATGAGGGATGGAAAATAATTCTCAAAATGAATTGCAATTCAAGACATTGCGTTTCAAATGAATGCCCGTGCTCGATTTCTATGAAAATCCATACCTGTTGCTACCAAGAAGAGTAGACCTTGGCTGCTTGGAAATAGTGAAGATGCTTCTGTGCAGACTAGTGGTTCTGCAAGGGATGCCACTCAAGGAAGGTGAGAAACTGAGTGCAAGTGAGCAACGGATAGAAGTTGCATGGTAGAAAGAAGTAAATTGTTTTATTGTGTAATGTTTGGAAGTCTGCTTTGGGGAAGAAACTTTACTGTGCAAACCCATTAAAAAGGTGTCATTTGGTCGGTCTGTTTTATGAAAAAAAATTTACTGTGTAAACTTAATAAAGCGGCGTCGTTTCTTGGCTAACAACACATAGTGCTATTTTACCTCAACACATACCTTTTGTTTTGGCAAAGACAATATGCTATTGACAGGCTCTTTGCCTTCTTGCAACACCTTCCTCTAACCCATGGTGATCTGCTAACCACAAAAATGTCAAAATCTTGTCGTTTTATTTTAGGGTTGCATTGAGCACTAATTAATCTTAATTTGTTTAATTAATTATGTCGTATCATGTCGACCTATTTATTTATATGTCTTGTTCACGTCGTCCCATATAATCCTTGAATAAAAAATTTAACGCTCAATTTTATGTCTAAAATTATATTATCACTTAATCATACTTATGATCATACGTTTTCTATAAAGTAAAAATTAAGTTAACAAATATAATAATAAAAATGAGTAAATTTTTTTTCAAGAATTGGATCACTATTTGATAAAATATAATAAAAAATTAATATTTTATTTTTGTAATACTACTTAAATATGTTAATCATGTTAATTTCGTATTGCTCGTATTTGACGCTAACTCAATTCATTTACTATTTATGTTATGGGCCGTATTATATATAAATTTGTATCGAAAAATGATAGATGTTTGGTTGTGTGACATTTGACAACCAAAGCAGCAAGACAATTCTGGTAGACAGCAAACTGTGATCAGTTATCTACATCCCTTCATTTTGATTTGGGTGATTTGTTGATAAAGTAAAAAAATAAAAAAAACTTTATACTTGTCAATTTTTATTGTAGGAAAAGTAGATGAATGGTATCTAAACAAGAGTTGGACCCTAAAAGAAGATGGTGTGAAAGCTTTTAAATCATATTAAGAAAATCCTTAAAAAAAAAAAAAAATAGAGAGAGGGAGAGATTCTGGATATTTATACTACTCCCATCCTACACTTTCATATCAAAATTAGAATTAGTTACACCGCTTCAAGCAACTCTAATGTGCAATAAGCAACCTAATCCTATAAGGTATCATATTCCTCCTTTTCGTACTTATTCAATCACATAAGACATCTTCAAGTATCTTCCATTACATGATCAAAAAAAAGTATCTTCTATTACATTTTGTCAGCAAACATGTATCCTGTAATCGCCACTATTGCTTTAAGACACTGAATGGTTAGATTCTAATAACTAGCAGAAAGCAAGTGTCATGCTAAACTAGTTCTCTTCAAGACCAGAATGGCGAAACCGTATATGTAGCTGTCTTCCCTCCAGTCAGGCTCCTACTTGTTAATCTGCTTTAGAAGACCAGACACAGAAGCACAATGAGTTGACTTATATTTGCATTGCTCACAGCATGATTGCAGTAATTCAATCACTTTGACACACCTGCACCATTTGCAAAATTCTTAATAATTAGAAATCAATAGTCAATGACTTACTGACAACACAAAGTTGCACTCAACGGATATCAAAGGCTACTAGTGCATACACTACAAAGGAAAGCTAATATTCTAAAACTAGACATTGTACTCTGTTCAACAGTCATTATAAACAAGGAAAAGCTGATTGAATAATTTTAAGGAGTCACCTACAAACCCTATGCATGTGTGCAGGTTTGTTTAATTGACCATGTGATCTCATTGGCGGGATACATTAATAGACAATGATGGTAAATAAAGTGACCTCTAATTGTTCCCACATACAATCAAATTATTGGAAAGTAGATGCAGAGATTATGTATGGTCAAGTCATATGACTATGCTATTTTTATAAATCAATGCTGCTCAAGATAGTTGGACTCCTTAAGTTTCTTCAAATTTTATGTTTTTAGGGTCAAAGCGGGCTGAGAAGAAATAAAAAATGGAAGGCGTCATATTCTCCAAGCCCACAAAAAAGGGGCGACTGCCATAAACAAAATAGAAAAAGGTTGTTTCTTCCTCAAATTGGATAAGTGGCTCTCCAACTAGAAATGACAACAGAATGCATGGTTCAAAGAGTAGAAACCCACGGATATTTGCACAACCATAAATATTGTTAAAGGTATTCTTCTAGGTAAATGGCATTTGAAGTCCCAGTGGTATCTAACAATGGCAGAGGAGTTGGTATGAAATTAAACAGACAAAATCATGTGGTTCTTACACAAGATTGGATGCAGAATCGAGGAAGCTCCATTATACAAAAGTTTAGTCAACTTACAGAGCCAACAATTAGAGCCACGTTTATGTCTCTCTAGCTGTAGAAAAAGCTACAAGCTGCTGGTATGGCTTTTCCATAAAACAGTCCTTCTCACAAGTTTGTCAAGCAAACAATCTAATGAAATCCACTTGGACAGCCATCCAGACATCATACTCAGTTACAAGATACCCGTATTATTATTCCCAGGGACACAGTCAATAAATTACAAAACCGAAAAGTTCCATGCCTGATAATTTTTATAAAAGCATGTGTTTGAGTTTTAACACATTGAATAAGCTAACGGTGTCTTCCTTGTGATAGTAATGTATATTTATTACTCCATCTTAAGAAGATGCAACCGTGGATAAAAATGTGGTTTCAAAATGAAAACTAATATAAGATACTTTTAAAGAGCCAAAGATTTCAAAACCACCTTAAAAGGGGGTAGAATGGCCAACATTGCACAGTGACAACAAAATCTACCCATTCACCCCCTTCAAGTCCACCGTGGCTTCTTATATAAGTATGCTGGAAACTTTGTATAAAGGTATCATCCTCCACAATAACACCATAATTACCAAATTCAAATCTTAGCCGTTGCACAGTAGACGCAGATCAGTTTCCTTTGCTACTCTAACTGGCACCTACATAAACGCATCAAGAATTGCTGGCAAATAAGAGTCTCTCTACTTCAAACATCAGTTCAAAATTCCAATTTATATCCAACTCACAACACAGGACCATAGTTCATAATACAGTAGTTCCACTTATTTGCCGTTAATGCCACCAAAATGTAGAACTCGTATGTCCAAAAACCTCTTCGACGTGGTCAATTGACAGGTAAATCCAAGAAAATGCCCAACTCTTACCTTCCAAGTTTTGGCTTCAAATGATTCTTATTTGACAACTATGAAGAACATACTCAATTGATGGCCTCAAGAACATGAACCCTTCAAACTACTGTCCTTATTCTCTCTCCCCTTCTCTATCTCTAATTAATAACGCTCATTCAAAGCTTTGAGTATTTGACAAAATGTAATTCAAAAACCTCACAAGAACTTAATATTTCAGGTATCATCCAAAAAGATATATATAAGCATTTACTGAATGATTCAAAGGCCTCAAATAAATGAGGGTTAGGCATTGATAGTATCTGACCATTCTTTTCAAGTTTTTGAAAAAATTACAATCAATCATTTGTTGAAGGCAACTACATATCATAAGCAATACAAGAATCGCGATTAATAATGCCCAATACTCGTTTAATCGCCAAAAAAACTGAGGCATGTTTTCTTTTCTTTTATTTTTAAACTTTTCCTATGATTTCTGAGCAGCCAAACAGAGGGGTTGTACCAGGATGGTAAAGAGAGAAACTTACTTCTGTGAGAGGAAGTTGTTCTTGGAAAGGCAGGCCTGAATATCGCACGCCTCCTTCTTGCATGGCTCTTTGCTCGGCTGTGCCATCTCTCTCTCTCTCTCTCTCTCCTGAGGATTGATCGCTGGGAAAATGCCAGCCAATTTCGTGATGCTTCGAAAGGTGTTATAACCGAGGGTCACAAAGAGAGTAAATATTCGAGTTAACGGTGACACCGCCTTATCGTCGTTATCGTGTTATTACTGTCCGATAAAAATATAAAATTAATTTAATAATTAATTTTCTTAGTAAAAAAATATTATTTAAATATAATTGAAGGATCTAATAAATTTATTAAATTAGAGATAAATTTTATTTTATATTAAAACTCACAACTAATTTAATAATTTATAATATAAAACATAACAACTTTCAGTAAGTTTTGGTGTCAAATAGACTCATTCAACGGCCGTCAGCATCCCTTTCAAAATCATTCACGTTGAATTTACTCTAAAATCTATCACTTATCACTTACATTGTATCGTATTTTCAAGCACAAATTATCCTTAATTATGTGTACAATAGAATTTATTTTATTCCATTTATTATTAACGTGGTGTAATTGTTACGTTTAATATATTTACTAAAAACGTAGTTTGTTTATATTACTACGTATTAAATAAAAATACGATGAAATAGATAAAGTAAAAAACTAGTTCTTTATCTAAATAATTATTAAATTACATTGTTGGGTAGTAACTAATTTGTGTGAAATTAACTTATTTATTTGATCAATGATACTGTATAACGATGATGCCGTGATGATAATATTCTCTCTTGCTATTATTAGTCCTTGTTTGGAATCTGGAATTTGTGCTTGACCTTTTTTTTTCCCTTGTTTGGAGTTTAATGCCTGTTTTCCATTTTTCTTTTTTGAAAAATACTATGTAACCCAAATATAGAGGACCATTGGATGAATAGGTCACATTAATTTTTTTAAATGGGATTCACTGATCCAATGGTCTCCTTTCATTTGAGATACAAATTTATTGAATTACATAACATTACTCTTTTTTTTTTTTGGGTCTCAAACAAATGTCTCTGCACCATTTGGGAAACTAATCCAATGTTTTTAATTCTTTAATTAATTTTTAGGATAAAGCATGTACATAATTATATATATCCATTATTGAATGTAATTCTTGTTTGATTAAATTAACTAAAAAAAAATTTCAGTCACACTACTTATTGTTTATCATATCTTTAAGGACATCTTTTTTATTTTTTGAATCTTCCCTGACACCTCTGTTATATTAAATGTGTTAATTAAAATACAATTTTTATTAAATTATGTATGATATATTTTAAGAAAAACTTCATCCATACTTTTTCTAGATAAAACATATATTCAATGAGAGCCCCTTTATTTTCTAATTTTTTTGTCTATTAAAATTCAGACCGATTAAAATTCGATTCGAGTTAATTAAACTTTCTTTTTTATGTATTAAAATTTGAGCCGATTAAAATTATATTCGACCTGATTAAAATTTATTTTTAATTGACTCGAATCAAATTTTAATCAACTCACATTGAATTTTAATTGGCCCAAAATTTGATACATAAAAAATATAAATTTTAATCGATTCAAATTTTAATATGAAGTTTTTTTCTAATCAACTTGAATTAAATTTTAAACAACATGAATTTTAATAAACAAAAAATATAAATTTCAATCGACTCGAAGTGAATTTTTATCAGCACTAATATTTCAAGTAGAGGTCAAATTGGCTTAAATTTTAATTCTTAAAAAAAGGAATTTTAATAGGCTCAATTTTTAATATGTTAAAAAAAAATAATCAACTCAAATTTTAATATGTAAAAAAATAAATTTTAATTGAATTTTATATAAAAAGATTATTCGGGGTTATTTAAGGACAATTTTAGTATTTTCAATTATTTTTTTTGGGTAGAAATTGCGATTTAACGGACAAGGGTGTCAGTGATGTTTAAATATAACCTAGAAGAAGTGTCGTGATATTTTAAATAATAGAGGAGTGTCCTTGAAAATAAAATAAATTAGAAGGAATGTGATTGAAATTTTCTCATTTAACTATCATATCTAATTCTTTTTTAATTTGTTATAATTTTAAAGGTTAAGTTATATATATTTTTTATTTTTAAATTATAATTAAAAAATAATTAATCATAAAATATTATAAATTATCATGGAAGTAATAACTAGGTAAAATTATAATTCTTAAACGATCAAGTTTCAGTAGCAACTTTATATAATAATAATAATTTTTAATATGATACCAATTTATTATTTGTTATTTGTGTACAGTAGAATTATACCACAATTACGATAAGGTTTGTTTTTTTTTTTTTTTAAGTTTTCGAATATTTGTTTTTTGGACCGGGGAGCGAGGGAAGCAAGGTTTAGGTAACCAGATAGGCTTCTAACTTCTAACTGTCCTCTCTCAATCTGAACATCTGTTGCCCAGGTTGCAAGCATCTCTCTCTCTCTCTCTCTCTCTCACACACACACACACACACACATCAAACACATGGAAAGACGGGGCTCGTCAATGGGCGCTTTGAAACCAAAACTAAAGCAGGCATCGTTGCTATGGCTCGAGGGTTTCAAGGNTTCTCTCTCTCTCTCTCTCTCTCTCTCTCACACACACACACACACACACATCAAACACATGGAAAGACGGGGCTCGTCAATGGGCGCTTTGAAACCAAAACTAAAGCAGGCATCGTTGCTATGGCTCGAGGGTTTCAAGGAAGCTTGCTGTCTCCACAGGGTAATCATATACTGTCTCAGGTTCTTTCTCTCTCTCTTTCTTCCCTTTTACTCTCCAATCGTTACATTCTATCTTCTGCTTACTTCATTCGATTTTTGGCATGTTTTTTTATATCTCTAATTTATTTTTCTGTAATTTTTCCCTGAAGATCGAGCCAACTTCTGATCCGAACGGGACAATGTTTTCTCTTAAATGGCTTCATTTTCTTAGGAAGGTCCCTCTCTCTCTTTCTCTCTCTCTCTCTCTTTATATATATATATTTTGTGTACGGCATGTATGTATTATATTATTGATTGATTGGAAGAATATGCATCTCTATTCTCTTTTGGAATGCTTTTGTACTCAAAGTTAAGCNTGTGTACGGCATGTATGTATTATATTATTGATTGATTGATTGGAAGAATATGCATCTCTATTCTCTTTTGGAACGCTTTTGTACTCAAAGTTAAGCTAGACTTTTTGTGGGTTGATCTTCTGTTCGGGTTTATAATCGTAGCGTAGCGAAACCCACAATACGTTTCAGTACAATTGAATGTGCTAATTTCTCCCCCCTTCTTTTCCCTCCTATCTTATATACTTCATCAACTTATAAAAGTAGATCAACGGTTAAGATTGATCTAATTTCATGTACTTTGATTAAATAGTTCAAAATTCATCCCGATTTCTTTTTCCACTCAAAAATATAATGTTCGTCTTAGATACAAATGTCAGACAATTCAACCAACACATTCTTCAATGACAGTCAACTCCACAATCAACAACTACCTCTCTCCTTGTTTCTCTTATTTCACTTTAATTTTAAATTGTGAAACTAAAGAAAAGAAAAGGAAAAATAAGTTGTTATTTAAAATATAATTGTTGTACAATCACTATTCGATTTCTGGTATTAGAGTGTGTTTATGCCGGGGTTATTGCTAGGACATATATATAGTATTTTGAGGAATTTTGCAACTGTATACTACAAAAATATGTTTTATATTTAGCTAGATTCTACAATTGACATTTGATTGGAGACTCAAATTGGACAAACGACCTTTTCAATCCGATATCCTTTATGCTCTTGAACCGTAGCTGAGCAACCCTCGAAATTGGCTTTCAGAAAACACTTGGATTATTTAAATTTGTTGTGCTCAGCTTTTCAAGGAAAGTATAGTACTTTATTTTTTCTTTTCAAATGCAGTTGACCTTAAAAACTCTGAATGTATGTAAATCATTTTAGGAGCACTAAATATGATTTTTGTATGATGACTATGTTCCTTGATGTCTGGTTATTCAGTTTATTCAAATTAACTTTACTGCTTCTATGCTAACATTAGGATCTTCATCATATATTGAAGATTTTATTCATCCAAATTTGCATTCCGTACAACTTTATGCAAGAGCTGCTCTTTTTACATGTGTGATATTTTTCTGCACCAACGGATAAAGTCTTTTGATATTTTTGTGCGTGGTTCCTCAAATTTCAAACTGTACTTAAAATTTGCTCCATGGTTTATTATCCTCATAATGACTCATTTAGTTTTTCCGTAGTCTTAAATAACTTGATAGAGACATCTTTTGCTATGTATCTTGATACAACTGAAATCTATAGTCAAGCATTGGTTTATTGTTGTTTAATCACAATCTTTGCTAATAATTGAATCTATCACAGGACAATCAGTGAAGGATTGATCATTACTATAGTTTTCTCCTTTGTTNTAATCACAATCTTTGCTAATAATTGAATCTATCACAGGACAATCAGTGAAGGATTGATCATTACTATAGTTTTCTCCTTTGTTAGTTCATGCATTGATGTTTTCAGTGGATTTTGAACTTTGGAATTCAAATCTTCCATAGGACATCCTAAAATTCTGATTACTTGAATCACTTTTTGCAGTATCCTTACTCTAAAATCAGTTATCATTCCAACACTATTGTGGATATTACCAGATCAGTGCCCACAATTCAGTTCTCAAGAACCATACTCATTTGGTGGTGTATTAAAATTTTATTCCTTCATACGTCTTGGACTCATACAACTCTTCTATGTGAGTATACTTTTGATATCATATCCCATACTTCATTGTCATGTTGATATATTTCATTCAGTATCTAACGTAGATATGCATGTGCTGCAAATCCCTTGTATTTTGCTTACTGTTTGTTATTCATGTTTTTATTTTGGGGACCATTGTGTTGGATGTTTGCATTCTCTTTCAAAGATTATGTGTGTGATGTGAAATAACCGATGTGTGGTGCAAGCTTTTCATAGGTCTCTGCAATGGAAAAATAGAAAAAACACCATTTACTTCTAATGAAACCTAATAAAAATTACTAAAACATTTTAGCATCTTATGAACCTAAAACTTAGGGGTGTCAAATGTGTCGTGTTTGTGTGACCCACAAGTCATGTTATTTGTATTAAGACCCATGAAAAAAAAATCTATTTAGTGTGTTCTGAGTGTTAACTATTAATCTAGACTATTTATTATGCGTATTTAATAATGGTATCAATTTTATAATCACTTGTGTCAGGTTCGTATCAACAGGTCAGATGCTGCTAAAACTTATATCAAACAAGAAATTTAACACTAGATGCTGCAACATAAGGCCAAAGGGTGCTCCATGCAATAGTCGTGAAATTTCTTTTCTTTTTTTTTGATCCCCATGTCACGAATCAACCCATTAAAGACTGCACTCAAGCTTTGGCTTAATTTAGTCAGAGTTATTAGATTTTAGGAGTCAAAAGTAGTTTGACAATGTCTAATATTTTGGCCATGGAATAAAGCGGTTGGTCCCGGGATTTTATCTTTGTTCTGGAGATGTTATTAGGTCTTTATGTATAGCTTTATTTTCTAAATGATTAGTTGTTAGAATTTTAAAAGTTTGAGATCCTAATCCAAGTTGTAGTAAGAGATGTCTAGTAACCTGGGTATATCTATGTAGTTTGTGAATTAGTAGAGTTGTGTTCCAAAAATTGGGGATTGTATGTGTGTGATATGGAGCCTAGCCTTGGAAAGTTATGCTGAAGGAAGTCTAAATGAGATTGTTCTCTAGATCAAACCAGCCTTAATTGTCTTATGTGTCATTCGAGAAGCTCATTTCCATAATCCAAATCTTTTCCCTTACCATTCGGCCTTAAATTATCATTAGCATTCCAAACACTAAAATATAATTGTTGAGAAAACTCAGCTAGCATTGGTTAAAAATTCTTAAGTAGATAGTGATGTGATTGAAGTACTGAAATTTTTAATGGACCTGTCAATGAAAAAGGTTTAGAAGCAGCTTTTGTAAGGTAAGGGATCCTGATTAATCATTTGCGATCATTTTATCCACTAATTTGTGTAAGGCATTTTTTTTGAGCTCAAAAATCAAATTTTTTGATAGATTAATTCTTAATTTATATTAGATGTTGCAAGCTATTTAAGTTGGCATTTGCTATATTTGTTCTTCAGGAGAAGTTTATATTTTTTAGCCATGCAGGAAATTTTGGGTGGTTCTGATTATTTCCTATGATTTATTCTATCAGGTATTATGGTTCTACCCATTGTATGTATTCAGCTTTATCATAAGCACTATTTGGTAATGCCTTTTTCTCTTAATTGGACCCTTGCCACAGTTACTTTTATGTTCTTTTCTAAAACTTGTGTCTTCTGTATTAATCCAAGGGAAACAGGTGTTNGGATCTTCATCATATATTGAAGATTTTATTCATCCAAATTTGCATTCCGTACAACTTTATGCAAGAGCTGCTCTTTTTACATGTGTGATATTTTTCTGCACCAACGGATAAAGTCTTTTGATATTTTTGTGCGTGGTTCCTCAAATTTCAAACTGTACTTAAAATTTGCTCCATGGTTTATTATCCTCATAATGACTCATTTAGTTTTTCCGTAGTCTTAAATAACTTGATAGAGACATCTTTTGCTATGTATCTTGATACAACTGAAATCTATAGTCAAGCATTGGTTTATTGTTGTTTAATCACAATCTTTGCTAATAATTGAATCTATCACAGGACAATCAGTGAAGGATTTACTATAGTTTTCTCCTTTGTTAGTTCATGCATTGATGTTTTCAGTGGATTTTGAACTTTGGAATTCAAATTTTCCATAGGACATCCTAAAATTCTGATTACTTGAATCACTTTTTGCAGTATCCTTACTCTAAAATCAGTTATCATTCCAACACTATTGTGGATATTACCAGATCAGTGCCCACAATTCAGTTCTCAAGAACCATACTCATTTGGTGGTGTATTAAAATTTTATTCCTTCATACGTCTTGGACTCATACAACTCTTCTATGTGAGTATACTTTTGATATCATATCCCATACTTCATTGTCATGTTGATATATTTCATTCAGTATCTAACGTAGATATGCATGTGCTGCAAATCCCTTGTATTTTGCTTACTGTTTGTTATTCATGTTTTTATTTTGGGGACCATTGTGTTGGATGTTTGCATTCTCTTTCAAAGATTATGTGTGTGATGTGAAATAACCGATGTGTGGTGCAAGCTTTTCATAGGTCTCTGCAATGGAAAAATAGAAAAAACACCATTTACTTCTAATGAAACCTAATAAAAATTACTAAAACATTTTAGCATCTTATGAACCTAAAACTTAGGGGTGTCAAACGTGTCGTGTTTGTGTGACCCACAAGTCATGTTATTTGTATTAAGACCCATGAAAAAAAAATCTATTTAGTGTGTTCTGAGTGTTAACTATTAATCTAGACTATTTATTATGCGTATTTAATAATGGTATCAATTTTATAATCACTTGTGTCAGGTTCGTATCAACAGGTCAGATGCTGCTAAAACTTATATCAAACAAGAAATTTAACACTAGATGCTGCAACATAAGGCCAAAGGGTGCTCCATGCAATAGTCGTGAAATTTCTTTTCTTTTTTTTTGATCCCCATGTCACGAATCAACCCATTAAAGACTGCACTCAAGCTTTGGCTTAATTTAGTCAGAGTTATTAGATTTTAGGAGTCAAAAGTAGTTTGACAATGTCTAATATTTTGGCCATGGAATAAAGCGGTTGGTCCCGGGATTTTATCTTTGTTCTGGAGATGTTATTAGGTCTTTATGTATAGCTTTATTTTCTAAATGATTAGTTGTTAGAATTTTAAAAGTTTGAGATCCTAATCCAAGTTGTAGTAAGAGATGTCTAGTAACCTGGGTATATCTATGTAGTTTGTGAATTAGTAGAGTTGTGTTCCAAAAATTGGGGATTGTATGTGTGTGATATGGAGCCTAGCCTTGGAAAGTTATGCTGAAGGAAGTCTAAATGAGATTGTTCTCTAGATCAAACCAGCCTTAATTGTCTTATGTGTCATTCGAGAAGCTCATTTCCATAATCCAAATCTTTTCCCTTACCATTCGGCCTTAAATTATCATTAGCATTCCAAACACTAAAATATAATTGTTGAGAAAACTCAGCTAGCATTGGTTAAAAATTCTTAAGTAGATAGTGATGTGATTGAAGTACTGAAATTTTTAATGGACCTGTCAATGAAAAAGGTTTAGAAGCAGCTTTTGTAAGGTAAGGGATCCTGATTAATCATTTGCGATCATTTTATCCACTAATTTGTGTAAGGCATTTTTTTTGAGCTCAAAAATCAAATTTTTTGATAGATTAATTCTTAATTTATATTAGATGTTGCAAGCTATTTAAGTTGGCATTTGCTATATTTGTTCTTCAGGAGAAGTTTATATTTTTTAGCCATGCAGGAAATTTTGGGTGGTTCTGATTATTTCCTATGATTTATTCTATCAGGTATTATGGTTCTACCCATTGTATGTATTCAGCTTTATCATAAGCACTATTTGGTAATGCCTTTTTCTCTTAATTGGACCCTTGCCACAGTTACTTTATGTTCTTTTCTAAAACTTGTGTCTTCTGTATTAATCCAAGGGAAACAGGTGTTTTTACATTGGTGCCACTACCTTGCTATTTTACTTTCACATTCATTTCTTTGAACATTACTGACTGAGGCCAGTCCACAAACCTCTTTCTTTTTTCCAGCTAAATAATGATGAAATGCTAGCATGCTCAGCCTTATACTTTCATAATTTGGAGACATGATGCTAATCTGGAGAATTTTATTCCTGAGCTAAGGTGCATTCCACTGAGGCAACTAATTTTCTTTTGTCATACTCATTAGATTCCTGTGCTATGTGCCATCTTTGTGACTGTCTATCATTGCAGCATATGATAAGAATGACAAATTGTGAGGAGTCACTATAAAATTATTGGCTTTTAATTTTCTTTGTCATGCTTGATTAACCCCCTGCATCCAAGAAGATTTGTTTAAAAAGATTCCGAATCAATGCACCTTTAAAATTATTCCATTAAAAAACTAGTTATATTTTTTGATAGACTAGTTGTTGGTTGGGCTTTGAATGGCATAATAATTTCTAGACTAGCATGATAAAAATATGACGTAATCTATAAAAGCAAATTTTAGGGGAACTGTTGTGACCTTTTTAAGAATAGGCAGGGAAGAACCAAGGTCCCCAATGTAGGGTTTGAACTCTCTTTCCAGTTGTATTTGACTCGGCCTTATCTGAACAGATAATATACACGTTCCACTAAATCTATGAGTCTCACGTGAAAAGGTCTTGAATCAGATACAATTCGGTAGAATTAGTAAAACTCAAATTTAAATATGTTGAATTAGACAAATTTGTAATTGACTCAAACTATTCTTCACTAAATTGCAAAGTTCAGCCAACCACAGATAAAAACAACAACATGAAGTAGAAATTGAAAGAATGACTATTCCTACTTTCATCTTCTTCTTGTTTGGTGCTTCACCTTTGAGCGATAATGGTAAGAACTGAACAAGATCGTGCACTAGGTGCCACTCCTCGATCACTAGTGGTCCCTGCTTCTCCTCGACTATGCTTGGAGCTTCGATTGACGTAGCAATTTTTCCTCTTTGATCTCTCTCTCTCTCTCTCTCTCACTCACTCACTCACTGAATGGAGCTGATGAATTGTACTGTGAATTTAAGTCTTTTTAATGTTCAGTGATAATCGTATCTGATTGTTTTTGTTTTAGTTTTGAATGTGTTAGAAACTTAATTGATCTAATGCATTTAACTAGTTTATTTTACTAATGGATCATACTATTTTTTAGTATTTTTTATGATCTTTAAGAATTTATCAAACCTTTTATTTAGTATTTCGTGGATATCAGTCGATACTGTGATGCGATGCTGCAACCATTGTGTTTCAGTGCCTTAAAAAGTCGATAGGCGATGTGCGACCTTGAACCATTCCTCAATGAGTTATAATTCATTTTGCATTATAAAGCATGTTAGCTACATTAAGGGTGTTGATCAAACCGAGTTTATTGAGCTTGAGTATACTCAAATTTTCTTGGTTGTGATTGAATGTGCTGGACTGTTGAGCTTAAATTCTTGTTAAGACTTAGCAAGACATAAATTTGTAAGCATTCTAGCCAAAATCGAACTTAATTAATAGGCAAACATTTCTTAAAAGTAAACTCGAGAACTCAATAATCATTTCTGAAATTATCAACTTCTTAACGAAAATCCTTGAAAATATGTTTAATTAGCTATAAAATGAAATCATGAAAGTTCAATTTAAAAAAAAAAATATCTACTAGGGATGTGAGGGAAAAGAAATGTATATGGTCGTGAGCTATTTGTCGGTGAGTTTGTGGCCAAATTAAATACTGTTTATAGAGCAAAACCTATATGAGTCCAGCCATGCATTATTGGATTCGGCTCGTTTACAAAAGGCCTTGTTAATCTGATGAATGTGTTTTTTGTTCATTCAAATATATGGATAATAGTATATCATTGCCATCCAACATTGTGAGGTAATTTTATGGATTTCACTGGATTCATTCTTATCGTAGAAAAATGCATTTAAATTTCAAGTCATGATCCTTAGAGTCGCATTAATGCCAGGTCTATCTAAAAAATGGGATTGACTTTGCTATAGAACTGGCAACCTGGTGCTTATGGGCCTTTGGTATTTCAAATTGAAAAATAGGGGAGTATGTAATGCATGTTCTCCACATACTTGTTTACATTAAAAATTCTTGATTAAAAAACTTGGACAGTGGATAGGCCATATATTACCATATCTAAATGGGTTATTGATGCACTCTCTCTTGGGTGCCGTCATATAATTTAGGAGTTTTTTTCGTAGACCCTTGTGTCTTATAACATGTAAATTGATACTGTAGTTGTGGATGCATAATTGCATATGCTCTTTTAAGGCAAAGCGTCGTATTGATAATTAATCATTCTCAGCTAGTGACATCTGAAATCTGAATGATTGTGTTACTTATGCTTTCATCACAATCCATAGTGGAAACTTTCTTCGTTTGGATTTCCTTTTTTAAAGTGTATCTTAATCCAGGTACAACGAGATTGCTAGATATGGGTTCTCTGCAATTGGGAAATACAGGTCTGCCATTTCAGAACCATCTAAGCAAAAGGAGGTATCAACTTCACAGAATCCTTCTCATATGGATAAACCAACTGATCTTGGGGGTTAATATTCCAAATTTTCAACTTAGTCTGTTTTTGGTTCCAGACTAGATTCATCACCGCCGTTTGGGGGCATTAATTCAAATGTCAGGGATTATTTTTTTGATTATGTGCACAAAGTTCATTTTCGGTAAAATTCTTTTTCTGCAGGGTTATGATTGGAATAGCAGAACTGGTCTATTCAATCCTCATATTGAACTTTTTCTTCCTTGAGGTGAGATAGATTTTGTTATTTCTACTGTATTGACATTTTTCACCAAGCCAGTTGGTGGAATATTTAAAGATAACAGTCACTTGCCTAACCAAACTTTCCACAGGTTTATGTGACAGGATTTATACCCTATATTGGGAAGGCACTCAGTTTCCTACTTCTTTCGTGGATGTATGCCTACTACTGCTTTGAGTATGTGGTCAATTTGCTGATGTTGTTTCTTATTGCGCACCTGTGCCAATTGGCTAGATAAATGCTAATGGGAATTTTTTTACGTTCTTAGGTACAAATGGAACCTCTTGGGAGTAAGTTTGGACAAAAGACTGGACTTCTTTGAATGCAACTGGGCATTTTTTGCTGGTTTTGGTATTATCTTTTTCTCCCTGGAGTTGATGGCAGTCCAGAACAAAATTGATTGTGCTTTAGATTTTAGGAGGCATGTGATTCTATTTGTGAAACTAACCTGACCCTTAAATAGTTTTTATAAGGTAGTCCCTTGTGCTTAGAAAAGGTTAAAAAAAATTTCCGGTCATTCTTTATTATTTTCTCCCTTGTTGCACATCATGTTTTGCTTTTCTACCTTTCACAGACTATTATGGGTAGATATATTATGAATCCTAGCTGCCAGGTAATTTTGATTTTAACTATATCACATTGACTTATGTGCGAACCAGTATCGCATGGCATGCCATGGATACATGTACATACAGAGGTGTGGAAATGTTCATCTCGCAAAAATTATCCAAGAGGCATCACCCATCAGGATTGAAGCAGCAAAAGAAGAAACATGGAAAGGAAGCGAAAAACCATGATCTTTTGTCACTTTGTCGTTGCTGGAGTTTGATGAAGTAGCCAAAGGATTTGTTATGTTAGATCTAGGGTTCCTTCTCCTTGTTTGTGCTTTAGCGAGGATGACCAAGCACTTCAAATCAATGATTCTGCTAGTGAAAAATGAAATTCCTATATTCGCTCCACAATGCCCTAGTATTCTATAAAATACCCTTTTCCCTATCAGTTTGTGGCNTTCCTATATTCGCTCCACAATGCCCTAGTATTCTATAAAATACCCTTTTCCCTATCAGTTTGTGGCATTTGATTTCAAAGTGCCCACAAGTCCTAATATTTTGAGCTCAAATGGATCTGATGCTTAGACTTGAATTGGTGCCATCACAAGACCACCTCTTGTTGGAACAGATACATACATTCATACCAGTGACATTATCCTGGTTTGAATACACCATCCAAATACGAAATTTGGACTATCAATCTTGTCAAGGTCCTCCCTCTGTCATCATGAAGCAGAGTTTTTTATGTTCTGAATGAAGAATATATGTGAGGACAACAGTTTTAAGAAAATAGACATTCCACTGGTCCCCTTTGCCATCCCAATCTCCTTATATTTATTTCACCCTCCTGTTTTCTCAATTAGATTTGTAGGATGGCACAAATGGAAGTTACACATCTCTGAATTGTATAATATCAAGAAGATCATAATGGATTCACACAGAGTATGCTAGAGACAAACCCAAGTAGTTGGGATAGAGGCTTGCTAAGTTGAGTTGACTTGACAACATCAAGTTTAAGAGGTAGCTTGGAAGGGTCTATAATCTACTGTTTCCTTTTATCAATCTGTTGGATGATTTTCAACTAAAAATGAAAGTGGTGATTCTTGAAGACATACTGTCTTTGGTATGTACTTACTACTGAATGTGTGGTCATGATTATTAATGTTCTTCGCCCTGAAAATAGATGTAAGAATACATTGTTGAAAAGAACTGAAATGTCTAAGTCTCATGCTTCCCTAACCTCCTTTTGTAAACTTCATAAACAATGTCCCCTTGGGGATCAAGAGTTTTTTTTGGTCTGTAACTACAGAGAACAATTTTAATGGTGTTACAAATAAAATATTGACCTCATTTTGCTTTGTGTCAAATAGAAATATGTTGCAGTGAGTATGTGATATTTCGAATATGCTTTCTATGAATGTTAGTTTCGTATATTTGGAATTTACTGTGTGGTTTTTCTTCTCTACGATGAAGAATCAATTGACTTAATGTAGGCATCAATCTTTCTTTTGTCCTTCTGTGAACAAGTCATCCTGAAACTTTTTTTTAGTGATTTTGTTCTCTTTTACAACAATAAGCTCTTTTCTTTCTGTTAGATGTTGTGGTGGTTATCAAGGGATTTATGCATTTTCTACTTTTTCAGGAAATCCTTGTGTTCTGGCCATATTCTTTTTCTCTCCTCTTGTGAGCTATGGGATTATGGCTATCCTCTTTCCGCTGGTAAATTGGCATTTGTACCACATTCTTGCTTATATTTCTCTATATTCACACATCCTATCCAAAATTTTTCTTTTATTCGTATTGAGTAGCCTCTGGGTAACACATGGTGGAAGCTCTAATCTTCACATAATTTTGCAAGTAGAGGAATGGTTTTATTCGACAAACTTTTCCAGACTGGACTTCAGTTGTCACGGTGGAGAAACAATTGATATGATTTGGTGTAGGCATGTCAACTGGCTTATAATGATTAGATTCTGGTCTGGTTACATTGAATCTGTTGCAGTTTTGATCTTGGGGTAAAGGTTTCTAATTTCTAATTTAGAAAAATGACATGTGCATGATGGGATTTTTTTTCTTAAGAGTCTGCCATTTACTGTGCTCATAATAGCTTTTGATCTGATGAGTCCATTGTTTCCTACACTCTTAAGAGTCTCACTAAATTCTCAAGGAATGATTTCTTTCATAAAATTTTTGAAAATTCAAAACTTGTGACATAAGTAGTAATTTAGTCAAATTTTGAGAATAAGAGCAAATAAACCATTTGTCTGCAAAAGCAAAATACTTATCCACTATGGATGGCCATTATATCAGTTATAAGAATGGAGATAGCTTTATCTGCTCTATGTAGGTCTAATGCGCTAAATGGACGGTTGGATCTGTGTATTTAGCTTTATTAACTATGTTTTTGTAAAGGACTTCGGAACTGGACATTGGTTTGTAATTTTGAGACTTCAGAACTGGATGTTCGGAACCAATATCCGATTCTTATGTTTGAACTTTTTTTTTCTTTTGGGGGGGGAGGGGAAGGGGGAGGAGGAAGGATTCTTAAACCCTTGACCTAAAGAANTTTTCTTTTGGGGGGGGAGGGGAAGGGGGAGGAGGAAGGATTCTTAAACCCTTGACCTAAAGAAGGCAAAACCTTTACAAGATAAGGAGTATCATTGAACCAAAAGCCCGTTGGTATCTTTTGTGTAAAGGACTTACTTATGAACTGGATATTGGCATTGTAGGAATTTGAATTTTTTGCCTCTCTCTCAGCTGTTCTCTCTCTGTCTCTGTCTCTCTCTCACTCTCTAATGTTCAAATAGTCCTTTGCTTAATGTCAGAGGAATCTCCAAACACATCTTTCTCTGGTTTCAATATCTCAAATGCTTTGTAGGCTTGTAGCAATTTGAAACACTACATACATGCTAAGTCTCCCAATATCTTTTTAGTTTCTATTCTTAAATTGATATGCACTTCTCTTTCTGCAGTTCTGATGACTTCATAAGCCTAGGACAAACTTGACCTATGCTGTTACATTTGCTTTTAATGGTGCTTACACTTGTGTTTTTGTAGTTTGTTTTGACAGCAACAGGCTCAGATGCTGACAAAGATATTGCTTCTCAAAGAAGAAAATGGAGGGGTGCGGGATTAGGAAGGCTTCCAATATTTTGTTCTGCCGACTATTTGGCGTAAGATATCCCTTTAACCACTATTTCTTTTCTCACAAGATTTTAATTTACTATCCACTTAATCAATGCAAATATTTCTCAAGATTTAGTAATTATGAATCTTCATATTGAAGTACATGGAGTTGTTTTCATCTTTGTATCCTAAATCTGAAAGACGTTTAACCTGAAATCTTGTGGTGGCACAACTGTTAAAATTGCTTTGCTCGGGATTCTTTGGTCTCTTAAGTATTGAAGACATATCACCATAGATTATGTTGTGATCCTTGGTTCTCAATAAGAAAATGCCAAGATATGTTGTATTCCGGCTTTCCACTGTATTCTAAATTTTATGTCATATTTTCAAGATGGAAGAAGCCAATTTTTCCTCTTTTTTTTTTTTTTTAGGGGGGGGAGGGGGNATTAGGATTTTTTTTTCCTTTTTTACCCTTACTAAGATTTTTATATTTTGCCTAAACTACAAGGATGTTTAAATCACTCTGTATTATTTTTGGATATATATACGGGGCTCTACTCTTAATTTGAGTATCCTCTTTTTCACTCACATCTATTCCAACTGTTGGGAGGCTGTCGCAGACTTGAAAATGTACCTCGCCAAGAGTGAGACAATACCCAGGGCGTAGGGTTGAGGTTGGCTGGAAATTTGGCAGCAATGGTGGGGCGTAGGGTGGGTTCCTTTCCTTGCACTTTGGGCTTCCTCTAAGGTCCAAGTACAAGACAAAGGTCGTATGGATTACAGTGGTGGAGAGGTTTCATGGGAGGTTTCAAAGCACTCTTTTAACCGTTGAATATATTTTATTGCTCTTTTTGGAATTCTGGCTTCAGTTGAGAAAAGGTAGGAGAAACACAGAGAATCCGTGAGGACATTCAGAAGAGGGGAAAAAAGATTAGTTTAGTGTGTTGGGATAGGGTGTGTGGACTGTTGAGGGATGGGAACTGGGGTTGAGGAAGATGCAAAATTTCAACCCGGAGTTGCTTGGCAAATGGCTATGGAGATTAGCAAGTGGAGTGAGGAGTGTTATGGAGGAGGGTGGTGATGACGAGGCATGGGTGTGGATGGGTAGGGGGTATTCATGGGTGATATTTGGGGGGCTTAAGGAGTAGGGGTGTGGCAAGAGTAGTTTGGGATATAGGTTATTGGGAAGAATTTCGAACCATTCATCAATTTGAGATAAGGGGAGGGAGGAGGGTGAGGCTTCGGTAGGACAGGTGGTGTAAGGAATACCTGCTTGCTTGTAGATTCCTGTCCTCTTCAGGGTGGTCTCCAACAAGGAGTTTTCTACTGAGTAGAGTCTATTTAGGGGTGGTGGTACAGTGGTATGACATCCCNAGATTCCTGTCCTCTTCAGGGTGGTCTCCAACAAGGAGTTTTCTACTGAGTAGAGCCTATTTAGGGGTGGTGGTACAGTGGTATGACATCCCATCTTTAGGAGGGTCCTTGATGACAAGAAGATTTAGGCAATGGTTGAACTTCTGGAGCATTTGCAGGGCGTGAAAGTGGGGTTGCCTGAGAGTGATGTGGTATGGGACGTTTACTTTGAGTGCATTCCATAGAATTCTGTTTCTTGGGAGTGGGTAGTTGGTACCTTTTATTGGAATGGTATTTGGGAGGCCATCATGCCTTCTAAGGTTATGCCTTTTGCATGGACAACAACTCCCCTCCTCTCCGCAGGGTTGGGGGAGGGGGGTTAGTGTTTATATTTTCACTGTAGATAACCTGAGGAGGAGGAAGAGGAGCTTTCAACTTTCAAATTAAGTGTGTCTATCCAAAGAAGAATCTGTGAGCCACATTTTTTTGCTTTTCACAGGATTTATGCTCAGTGATGTTCTCATTGGTCTACATGGCATGGTGTACACTTAATTCTTCAAGGGGGTGATAGTTGCCTTGTTGGACTTTTTATTTTTATTTTTGTGGGGGAGGGGATGTGTTACGTGCACACTTTATAGAAAAATATAAACAAAACGAAAAAATAGAATAGGGAAAAGGAAACCTGCTTTGAGGGGGGTAGAAACCTCCATTGGTTTACTTTGATGGGACCCGACCTCCCAAACTTTTCACAAGGAAGTTAATCACAAATATTCGGTACCTTTTCCATTGATCTTAAGCACTTTAAATATAATGAGATAACACCTACAAGATAATTACTAAACCCCATGATCCCACTACTAGGTAAACTAAATACTATACCACTAACCCATTCCCTACATAAACTCCTAGAAATTAGCTTACATAACATTCAGATAAATAGAAAATTAAAAGCATGTAACAGGCTACTTGGGGAAGAGGACAAGGGAGTTGTGGTGTTTGATTCTGTCAGCATTATTTTGGCATGTATTGAAGGAAAGAAATAGAAGGATTTTTGAGAGTATAGACTAGAGATTTCCAAGAGAGGTTTAAACAAACTCTTTGAATTGTTATGAGATACCTTTAATCCATCAAAAAAAGAGTATGAGTCTCTCTTGGCATCGTGATCGATGAGAGTTGCATATTACTTTCCCCCAACATTTTTCTGTCTTTGGTGGAAACAATGTGTTGTATTATATTTTTTATTGTTTGCATTTCAGTTTCCTTTGTCATAAATGAGGGGAAGGAAGGGTAGAGAGGATGAGGGGGACTTGGGTTGATCAAGAATATTTCTGCTTACATTTTAGAGGCTCTCAGTAATTCCAGTAGAACCTGTGATATTAAATGTGAATGATGATTAAAATTGAAAGACTAGGTTTTCATATATATGTTTTTGCTCGAAGCGTCATTTTCACTTTTTGCATAAGCAATTTCAAATCCATTACATTATTATATAGCATATTATAATGTGTGCTACAATCCTTTCTATGTATCGGCTCTTTCTTTGTAGTGGATTTCACAAGAGACTTTTTGAGTTGAAGTTAGTGAATGATCAGAAAGGACTTTGGATGTCTATGAGTTTGCCTCTTAACTTGTTCCGTAGTGATCACTAACCACTAGGATACTTTTTGATACATTGACAAGTTTCAAGCTCGTAGATTTTGCTTTATGTTACTGATGGATAACAGCTAAAAGATTTTAAGCTCGTGAGTGCAAGATTAAGCGCCCTTTTTTTGAAGAAAAAATAGCTTATTAGCTCGTTAAGCTGTTAAATTCCGGGTGCAGATCTTATAGGAACCAATTTTGGCCGGAAATCCCTAGCATAGGCTTAACTCTTCACCCTCTGCCCCTTCTTAGATTTGGACCCTGCACCAATTATTACATGTCATGCCATTGCTGCTTCTTCCATTGGCGTGGCTATAGGCTCCACTCTTCATAGCCTACCCTTAATTTAACCTTCCGCAAATGGGAGGGTACTGTATGCTTATTTTGAGGCTACTAAATTCACATGTCATTTTCTTTCTGCAGTATGCGGGTCTTATCTCTCTTCCCCGTGGAATCTATTGAACAACTGCACGAGAACAAGTCACTTTGAGAAGTGGTTTCATATGTTCCTCTGTCCATGAATGGTAATGTTGAACTTCTTTAGGTTTGTTGAGATTCAAGGATCAAAATTGTCTCTGTGGCCTGTGCTTTTTTCGGTCACTTATAAAACATAAACGTTTCAGAAATAAAATGAATTGATTTCCAAAACATTGGTTAAAACATATGAAACATTTCGAAATACCTCAAAAATATAGGAATTTCAACATTCAAACACCGATTCATTTCGATTTTAATGGAAACGAAAACGTTTTGATAAGAAAATTTTGTTCCTTGGTGAGATGTACGCATTTTTTGAACCATCTTTTATGTCTTGTACAGCAGAGGGAACACAGCAGCTGGAAGACACCATTCTGTATCTTCTGTATATAAAAAAACATGTGTAACTAAGCCTTCATTTGTACAGAAATCAGATATAAACCACTTTGTTTGTCAGGTATGTGTTCATCATAAAATGAAAGTGATTTTCTCGACGGAGGCGAGTTTTCTCTTCNTAAACCACTTTGTTTGTCAGGTAAGTGTTCATCATAAAATGAAAGTGATTTTCTCGACGGAGGCGAGTTTTCTCTTCATCTTTTTTTTTTTTGTCTTATTGAAAAAGTTTGCATAATGGTTGCATAGAAGTAGACATTAACATAAAAAGTAAGTGGTACTCATTTTAGTTATCATTACATCCACTTAAATGAAGTAAGTTATTGTGATGATCGGCTGGAATAGAATGACAATTTTTTTTTTTTTTTGAGTAACGAGGCAAATCTCTGAGCTGTTCCGGACGAGTTAAGGTGTTTTTATGTTGCTCAGGCTTATGGATTCGAGTATAATCGAGGGCAAACCTTAGATGCATGAACTAGTTTCTCANAAGGTGTTTTTATGTTGCTCAGGCTTATGGATTCGAGTATAATCGAGGGCAAACCTTAGATGCATGAACTAGTTTCTCAATCAATACACCAGTTAAATTAGAATTTGTGCTTCGGTGGAGATTTGAATTCAAAGACTTGTATATGGTTCGTCCAAGTGATTGAGGTATGTCCTATGAACTGACCACGTTTTTATAGCCAGGGGACTTGAATTTTGGGTCCGTTGGTAGAATGACAACTTGCTTTGTTCTTAAGGTGAAAAATAAAGAGGAGAATCTTTGCTTGCTCTCAATGAAGACTTTTTGATTGCCAAAGCCACTGGAAGCACTTTTTTTGGTACTACGTGAAAAACAATTGTACACAAAAGTGCTTGTCTTTGGTGTGGAGGAGCAACTTCCATTTTCAAGTACTAAACTTTTAGCCTTTTCAACTTTGCTTTCTTTATCAGTGCAATGTATACATCAATATGCTTTTTCCACTCTATATTCCACAATCTATACTCTAATTTACTTCAGTTTAGATTCACATGTGCTTAAAACTAAGGTTATTAAAACATTTGTCCTAATGTGTATCGTTTTTAAAAAATCATGTATTGTGTATTGACTTTGTAAGATACATTCAATTTTTAAAAAATAAAAAAATAAAAAAATAGATAAAAATA